AAAAAAAAAAAATTATTTAACATCTTAAAAAAATATGATTTTTAAGATGTTAAAATGTTTTCATGCTTGTCCACTTTAATCAGAAATTTCTTTCCAGTATTTTAAAGGGAAATGTTTCACTGTTGTTTCCCTGTTTTAACAGAGCTGTGTTGCCGCGTTCCTTGATGTTGTGATTGGGGGCCGTGCAGTGGAGACCCCTCCATTGTCTTCCGTTAATCTTCTGGAAGGATTGAGCAGAACTGTGGTTTATATAACCTATAGTCAGCTTATTACTCTGGTAATGGCTTCATTGTTTAATAGAATTTTCTCAAAAGTCTTTTAGCTAAGTGTGAGCAGAGACATACATGAGTACATTGTGTGGGAAATACATATTGTATTTGTAAAAGTGATTTCACTAGCTAATGTTCTTTGCTTTTGCCAGGTGAATTTTATGAAGAGTGTGATGTCTGGAGATCAACTGAGAGAAGATAGAATGGCTCTTGACAATTTATTGGCAAACCTACCCCCAGCCAAGCCAGGAAAAAGCAGCAGTTTAGAAATGACTCCCTACAATACACCTCAGCTGTCTCCGGCAACCACTCCAGCAAATAAAAAGAATCGATTACCTATAGGTAAAGAGAATTTCTTGTATCGGAGCTTTCTCTTAAGTTTAATATTTCGTTAGCCTTTGTTATTGCTCGGTGTTTTGGAATATATGTTTAAGTACTTGGGAAAGTCTTTCTCTTCATGTTTACTGATGGTATTTCAATTTTTAGAAATTGTATCAGATTAGTTAAGGTTTATCAGTAGGCTTTAGCTTTGTCTATCTACTTTTCTATCCACAGTATACTTTGTTCAAATTTTATTGTCTTTTCTTGAAAACATTTTGGAAATGTTATAAGTGGTCATTTTTAAAACTATGTAGCCCTCAGTAGTTTTAAAGATGGTGGCACGTGCCTTGTAGTCCCAGCTACTTGGGAGGCTGAGATAGGGAGATTGCTTGAGCCTGGGAGGTCGAGGCTGCAGTGAACCATGATCGTGCCATTGCACTTCAGCCTCAGTGACAGAGTGAGACCCTATCTCAAAAAAAAAAAAAAAATTAGGTAGCCCCCTCATTTCTACAAAGTTCTAAATAATGTAATAAACAATATTATTTTAGAAGTTTCCATCAATAAAGTGGAAAATAATAGTATTTTTCTATTATTATTTTCAGTAATAATAATCACTGTTTTATCAACTGAGCTAAGATATCTTAATGTTATAAAATAAAGCAAAAGTTTCATTTTATTTTTTCAAGTTTGCTTATTTAAGAATTCTGTTTAATTAAGACTTATTTGCTTGGTTAATAATTGTTATCTATCTGTCTACAAAAAAATTAATTGAGCATATACCGTGTTCCATACTCTGGGTAGGCACTTTATAAATGTTGTTTCATTTAATCCCCACAAAAGTCCTGTGAGAGTGGATGTGTCTTGCACATGAGACATTGTGATAGACACTGGATACAAAGACCATTAGGACCTGCCCTTACTCGTTGGCTATTGATAGTTTAGTTAGGGAGAACAAGAAGAGACTAGTACCCTTCAGCGTACTATGCATTCTGGGGAGATAAGTATGAGGGTTATGGGGACACCTAACTTAGCCAAAATGGTGATGGTATCAGGAGAAGATCTTGGAGCAGGTGAAGCCTGTTTGCGCTTTGTGATGAATGGAAGTTAGGCAAAGTAAACAAGATGGGGAAAAAGTGTTTAAGCCAGGGGAACAGGATTATTTTAGTGCCTGCCTAATTATAATGAGGAACTCAGCAACACTTAGTGAACATAGTTCTTTTTAATTTATGCATTTTGAAGAGAGGGATTTTGCTTTTAAACTTCTGTGAGCTAATTCATTAAGAACTGCCAGTTTCTTAAAATTAATCTACCTTATATTTAACATAACGTGGAATTGTATCAACAGGAGTGTGGCATCATACTCTTTAAGTCTTTGTCTTATTGTATCACCCCAATATGTCAGTTTTCAAAATAAAAAATAGAAAAAGGGGTTTTGCACTTAATGGGTTTTGTTTTGTTTTTTTTTTTGGAATGGAGTCTCATTCTTGTTGCCCAGGCTGGAGTGCAGTGGCACAGTCTCGGCTCACTGCAACCTCTACCTCCCGGGTTCAAGTGATTCTTCTGCCTCAGCCTCCCTAGTAGCTGGGATTATAGATGCCCGCCACCATACCTGGCTAATTTTTGTATTTTTAGTAGAGATGGGGTTTTGCCATGTTGGCCAGGCTCGTCTCGAACTCCTAACCTCAGGTGATTCACCCGCCTCGGCCTCCCAAAGTGCTGGGATTACAGGTGTGAGCCACTATGCCCGGGCATTTAATGGTTTTTTTATGGGCTGTTTGCACTCTGTTCACATGATGAAGTAAATGATTTTTAGTAAATCAGAGATTTTTTTTTTTCCATTGTTCACTGCTATACATTAGTTTTTTCATTTCCCATTTTCTAAAAGTGTCATTAAATATGAGTCTGATGGAAAGTGAATTTCAAATGTATGCCCAGTATTATTTTGTATAGTCTTGTTATCTGGCTATTGCATTTATTTCGTATCTTAAAAAATTTGTCCATTGTTCAGAGTGTTGATTTTCTTTCTATTTAATGCTTTCGCAACCCAGGACAACAGTTAGCAGCCATCACTGCCTGGGATTCCTCAGCTACCAATATTACCACTCATATTACACTAGTAACCCCGTTTGGTGGGTAATAGGCTGTTCTTATCTTCTTTTATAATTTTATTTAAGAAATAGTTTATAAAAGTATGCTCCATGTGCATGTTGCTTTTACTTTATGTAAATTGCTACATAAAATTTGATTGCTTGCATTTTTATAAATTATAGTTGCAGAGTTTGTTACGATTCGTAGATCTGTTTATGAACTTGAATTTCAATTTGCAATTCAATGGAAGATAGGGTAAGCAAATAAAGGTTTGAGTAGGCCTGTTTTAGACTTGGAAATTGATGTGTGCTCTGTGACTAATGAACATTAATCAGCATTGTAAAGAGAGATGATTATTTCTATTTCTGCTTCTGTCTCCAAGTAGGTCAGCTTTCATACAATGTGAAGTTGACTTTTGCTGCTACTATAGTTGTTTTTGCTTTATGTCTCTATTTTTCATTATTTTGTACCAAAACATAATTTCTATTTAGTATTCTGGTTGTACTGAATTTTATTGCCCTCTGAAAGAAAATAGAAACTTTTTTTTCTTGATTTTTTTTTTTTTTTTTTTTTTGAG